TATTATCTGCTTATGTGCAATCTTTATTTTTATATATTACTACGATTGAAGCAACTACTTCTATGAATTTGATGTTGATGTTGTTCTAATGCGGTGTTGCAACTTTGACTGATGGACATATTTGCCTGATCCTACGTTGTATCTGATTGAGTGTTACATGCATCCATCCGACACCTGCGGTGATGCACAACCCTGAATGACATAGGAATAGATTAGAAAATACTAAAATTAGGTCATATTATTCGGTACAATCTTCTTGATCGTGACTCATACAATACTTGTAAACAATGATTAGATACATTCGGTTGCATGATCCCCACAATCAGTCACAGCAGCTCAGTTGTATTTATTTTCCATCTTCCGTTAAATTACATTTCATTTTAACTTTTCTCCTTTCGTTCCCATTTTTTGTTCTTTGCATTTCCTCTCTTGGTGTACTAATGTCAACTGTATGTATATTTCAATCTCGAGTAATACTTCATTTTCTCACTGAATCCACTTTATATTTTGTTTTTCTTATTTCTTTATAAAATATGCATGGTGTTTGCTTAAATTTTTAAGTATCATAGGGAATCCTATTATCAATCAACTGTGTTTATATTTTTAGAATTCAGATGTTCATACTTTATATTGATACTTCTTTGTGTTGTATATAAGTAATTAAGTACTAAAATTAGTAGTGATAATTTCGTTATAAATCATAATCAACTTAAGTGACATAAGGATGTGTTACGTATATAGTTATAGTTAATTTTGGCGTACTTCAAGGTATGCTCACCTAAATAACGTGGTAGTAAATTGGGATATTGTTTAAGAGCTGCTAATCGAATATAGATATTTTATTGTAAACTGTGCCACTTCAAACGAAGTTGACCGGGATCCACCAGTTAATCGCTATATATATATATAATATGTTTAGTGTGATAACATGCTGGAATGTATCTATTGTTTACTCGTATAATCCCTTATATCATGATGTGTTCCACTAACGAAGAATTATCCGTATCCAACTTATAATTTAATAGAAAATGACAGTTTATAACATAATTTTCAGAGTTAACGTTCACATTAATACTTAAATCCCACACTATCCACTTTAAACAGTAAAACATTTTACAAGCCAATCCATTGACATATGGGTTGATTAATAACCAGATGTTTTAGCGTTGACCGTATTTAGAAGTTAGCTTTAATTTGTATAATAATCGCTAATTAATACTGAATATTATAACAGTTGAATAGATGGGTAGCGGATGAAAGTATGACGTTTCAAATAATTGCATTGAATCCAAGTATGAGTGTTTCAGATAAGATAGAAAGCGTATACTGAATTCTCTGACTAAGAAATGCGTTCTCAATATAATCGCCGTGTGATAATGACACATCTGTTTGCCAGTATCAAAAATTCATTCTGAATATAAAGAACAGAGGAACATAAATTCTTAAAATGAGTAATTAAAGAAGGCGTCGTGTTTTCTCGTTCTTTTCTTTTAAGCAAAATAAGCTCCTGTTTTTTCTTGGTCCCCACAAATTGTATGTTCTGTTAAATTAATTCAACTGTTAATCGAAGTGTGAATACAATTTTCAGTAAATATCGTCATAGTCAGTGTACGACACGGTGTCGGGGTATGAAAGAAAGCTGCAAAGGGCTGGCTTCTGTTGGTCCTTCACGACTCCCTGGTTGGGATCCAAGAGATGGTTCAACACAGTGGCTAGAGACGTTATCAGATATGGCTCAGAATAGAAGCTAGTGTCGATCCTACTGTAACCTTTTACTTTCTTCATAAAAGTGGTTGTATCTTCCTTAATTGAAAGAATTCTTCTAGTTGTACTTTTCCGTCTCCCCCATTATTATTATTATTATTATTATTTACAATACCTCACAATAACCTGGTCGTTATTGTTCTTCTCTTTTTTCTTTTACGCTCCTTACCTTCTTTTTTTTCTCTTTCCATTCTCATTGTTTTGTATGGCGCATATATATTTGGTGCCCCCTTGTACCAATATTTATATGTTCAAATAAAAATAAATTAATTCAACTTGTAATATCTGTTAAAATTTCTACAATTTTATTTCTGGTCTACAAATGCTCTGATATGGTCGAGGGTGGGGAAAGTCAGCTCTCCCTCTCAAAATGCTCTCACATGGCCATGAGTATGCAGCCACTGATAGGGAAGTTCTACTCACTTCCTTTTCGTCGCAGGGGTGTCGTTTACCAAGTTGAGAGGACGAAAAACGAATATCCAGCGCTTTATCCGAGTTGTTGGAATCAGAGGATCCACTTAGGGGAGTTGGGAAACCCTGATTTCAAATTAATGGTGCACATAGGCTCCAGTATCCTGAAGAGCAAATAGATTATGAACCTATTGTTAGTCACTGGCTACCATGGGACTATATCTCCTTACGTCGCTCCACTGCCCTGTGGATTAGACCTCTAGGTCAAAGGCTGGGGGAGTGGCTCCCTAAGAAAACTACCTGCTTTGGTTTGGGCACCCGGACAGTATTCCAGCCCTTACATAAACTAGTGATAACTACTACTGGCTTCATTGTTATTGTGTGGCATATATGTATTTGTTGGTTCCTTGTACTAATGTTCATGTGTTCAAATAAATAAATCTCTAGTTCAATTTATCTATCAAATATTTTGTTATTGCCTGTCAAAAGTCCTCCAAAACTATTCAGTATTTTAAGTTCAAAACTTAAGAAGTCAATGAACTAAGTCCTACAATAATCATATCATGTTGAAGAGTGGACTCGCTAGAAGAATAAGCCGATTCTGTGAGGACGACCTACGGGTGAACTCGAGGAAGCTCGGAACGAGCTGAAGATATTCCACCCAATCATCTTTTGGAAAAAAGTTCCAGAATCTCTACATGTAGCTTTCCTATTAGACAAGTGCTAAAACCCCCCTGTATGCGGATTAGATGACAATAATGATAATTTCGTTTTTACTAGAAAAAAACTATAAATACCTGATAGTTCTGTACCTTATTTGACCCTGTTTGGAATAGCATTCCTTTCACTTGTCTTCTGATTTGTGACTTGGAGGGTTGTAGTGTTCAAGTGCTCAAGTTATACGCGGTATATTAAGAATCTATGCTCTAGATATAACAAATTCCAATTGTGTTAAAGAGTTTTGTAATAGGAGCTGAAAGAAATGATTTTCCAGTTCAAGAGTCGCGTTATATTTTCTCAGCATTTTGTATTATCCAAACATAAATAAATAGACGCACTGTTTCAAGTGTAACTGACTTTTAAATAATAAATTGCATGCGTATCTATGAAACTATATGTTCACTTTTTGACGCCTTGGAATAATGCATGGTTTTTGTTTTTAAAACTACGATTGATTCTTATTCATCATTTACTGGATAGAATTATCAATGAATTATAGACTTTCCAGTGTCTTTTAATAATCATTTTACATATCAAATCATAAACTTACCAGATACATATTTGTGTACTTAGCTTTGAAGTGCACTCAGTTTGTTACATAATGGATGGTATAAAATACTATTCTCTTTCTTCCTCAAATATACTACGCTAATACGATTAAGAGATTAGTCACGTTGTACCAGGTCCAGGATTTACGATCCAGAATAGAGAACCAGATTAATATTAAATGATACTTTATTCAATACAATTACAAGCAGTCACACTCAGTGAGTCTGGAGTAGAAATCAATGAGAGAAAAGGAAATCACATATTTAACAGTTAGTAGGCTGAGAGTCTGTTTCGTCACACTCAGTGATTAACCATATTTTACTTTCACTACCATATATTATCTTGATAGTCAGTGGGGTTAATTGTAAGTAAGAGGGGTGGGGTTCGAACCTGGAACCGAGTAGTTGAAAGTCGGACATATCCGATAACATTTTTGCTAATAACCTAAGTTTAAAGCACCAAGTCTTAATTGTTTATTATTCATCTTAATCATTATACATAACTACTCTTTCCAAAATACTTTCTACATACATTACTGTTATATGATATGATGTTACCATGGAAATCTTGTTTAACCCACTCTTGTATATCACGAATCATGATGTAATAAATACATACATTTGTCATTTATTAATTTCGCTAGGAGATCAGCTAATATTACTTAACTTCTCAGTTTTATTTATCATATTCCAATGTTTTTAGGTGTAAATCCTAAGAAATTTGTGTTTAAATTCTGGCTTTATAAAAATGGTATTAAATAGTATATCATTCACTTGTGAAGTGGTAACTTATTGGTTAAATCATTCATTTTCCAATCAATGCATTAAGTGTTGAAACATCACATTCCACCGATTTCGGTTTAAGCAACTAAATATAACATTCACACAAGCAATTTATGAACCCCGAAACTTAGCAAAGGAACTTATACTAAGTAAATGATTCACAGTATAAGTGTTCAATTATATGGTGACAAACCAATATTTATTTTCAACCTTCAGATATGTGTTTTTTCTTTAATTTTCATACCACTTGATCATTAAAAGTATATACGTATATATCATGTTTTATCAAAAGAGATATCATATTTTATAAAGGGAATACAATAGAATGAGATATTAATCGATAAAATTCGATCAAGAAGAAGAATTAGAAGATCATCTCATTATTCAATACTTATTAATCAGTCAATGAAAACATCTCAGTTCTACATTAGTACGTACCCTCTCACTACGAAGCTGCTTAATGAGCGTTTGAATTCCACACAGAGTATTAATTTCATCAAGATTACATGTATCATTTACTGTTGAATGAATGCGACCTAACATGAAACTTGAGTTAAACTACCTAACCTTAAAATTATTGTTTGTTGAGTGGTTTTCAATGTTCTGTTTTTCTTTGATTTTATATTTTAAACCAACAAGTTTGACAATTCTCAATAGGTTTCAAGTAGTATTGTTTTCATGATTAAAATAATATTGTGTTATGGAAACTCTTTATTCGAAAGACATTATTTCTAAAACAATTGACTTATTTACTGTGATGTTCCTATTCTCTAGGCTGAACGTTCTGCTCTACTACCATTCTCATGTGATGTTGACTGTTCAACACCTTCACCTCCATTATCTACCAGATCTACACACAATAATGACAATTATTTAGAGTTGTTCGCATCTCAACCGACTAATACTGCTGCTACTCTACAACGAAACTCTTCCTATTCACCAAGTGACAGCAAAAATTACACTATCAAATATACTAGTAATTCTACTCATTCAACAATTACTCCAATTAATGAACAAGAAAACGATCGACAGTCATCACAACATCGAAAACCACATCGTCAACGTCGACAACACCATCATGAGAATCGTAGTTCATTCCATCGGCATAGTGTATTACGTCAATCACTCGGTGGTATTAATGTATTAACTCATCATACAAATGCATTACATCAAGATTCATCTGAACCAGACAATGAAATATCGCCTAAAAGTTATGACAGTAATGTTGAGGATATCAGAAAATGTACACCTAAACGAGTCGATAATAAATTCATTGATTATTTATCATCATCAGCATCATCGATTCATACTAATAGCAGTAGTAAGTCTTTGAAGAATTCTAGTCACTGTCATCATCGTCAGAATGATGATGTTGATGACTATCAACTAAGAACATTCCGTTTATCAAACTTACCATCATGGGATCATTTAAATTATGCATTAAAACCTTTTACATCGAATCATCATGGTAGCGAAACAAAGTAAGCATTGTTCTATTTTTCTGTTGGAGACCCAGGTTATTCAGTTATATGTTAGTGAAAATTGTGTTAATTTTGATAAAAAGTTGTGATGTTTGTCAGATTTGTAGGTTTACACCACAAATTGACCTTAGTTCGAAAACAATTGAAAACCATGAGGCACTTGATAGTTATTACGTCCTTTTATGTACCTTATTAACATTACCACGGCTCGAACCCAGGACATTCAGTTATCACGGGAACATTTAACCTTCAGATCGCGGAGTTGTTGTTCGAGGGTTTACATTTCTGGTTTCAGTTAATTCTCCGTATTACATGACTAACATCCATTGCCATTCATAATGTAAAACTATGTATTAATTATTGACTATGTAGTAGAAACATCGGATTTTTCAATTAGTTATGGTTTCAAATGGTATACCCACGCACTTCAGTTTGCATAGATGAGTGGATTTCTTTAGCATGCATATGTATGGATCGAAGTCTAGTTCGTATACCTATGCTCTATGAATGAGTTATATTAACATTTGCTTTTTATACCAATGAATTGAGACGAAATATTTACCAAGTCTACCACCTACCTTAATGTATGAGGGTGGCCAATTCAGGCGTTGATTCTAAAAAACACTAGGGATCGTCAGACGAAGAAGTGTTATCAGTCTATTACATCATTATTGGTTCGACCAGTGTTGTTAGATGCAAACTCTTTAACTCAATCCCGTAAAATCATCTTGCAAATATTTGGTGTTGAGTGACATGGTTGAGAATCAATCATCCACCCACTTTTTTCTCCCTAGTCTCAAGCTTCAATTTTACTTCATAATTTTTATTTCTCAAATGGATACCTTCTTTCGGAGTCGTATTCTTCAATGTTTAGTTTTTTCTCAATATTATTGATATTTCTATTCTTCTACTATTCATTTTTATTGATTTCATAATAACAAATCGGGCTAATACAAACTTTCTCCAGGCTCTGTGTTGACTATATTGAATGAGTTTCATTTGTATTATAAAACTTCAATAGCTTACAATCCATACTATCTGAAAGAATGAATGGACTCATATTTATTTTTGATTTTGTGATTACATTGCCTTCATTTTTTCCTGCTCATTGATGTGAGATATGAAGGATCGATTTTGTTAGCTTTCCATTGAAGTTTATATTAGTTCGTCTGATTTCCCGTCCATCTTTTTAAATTTTTTGTCGTTATGATTTCTGCCAATATAGAGCGAACCACATACTTCGATTTAGGCAGCAGAGAAGAGTATTGTTAAATACTACACACAACCAAATTACATCTTGAAACCGAGTACGCAAACATGTTTTTAATAAATAAGTGACATTAATTTTTTCGTTATTACTACCATTAATTGAAATTGTGTAGATCAGTGTGTATGCCATCTAATTACTGTGTAAGAGTTTTCTATAATACTAATAGTGGCAAAAAGACCAGAGAGCTAGAAAGAGGTGATTACACAACGACTAAATACTAATAGTAAATAAGAATAAAATGAATTAAGCCAAGTTATTTGAAATAAAATAATTATCCTAGAAAGCGTAGTGATGTAATCAATGTACAGAAAGAGTTAGATATAATTTTATGAAGTGTTTGTGTTATCAAGGCAGAGAAAGATTTACAACAGTCTCGTTTCGAACACACAAATCAGGTTTCTGACGCCTGATAGCGATGATTTCAACGAACTTCAGAAGATTGGAGCTCAGCCTCCTATTCATCAAATTGAAAAGTTCTATGATATCGAGCTGATGTCCCGTATCCGAAAAATGTCTAGAAATCGGGTTATTTAATTATTTCGCTCGTTTAATTGGAGGCTGCTTTGATATGTACATGTAAATTTATAGATACAGTTGACGGTAATTTGAACAAGATACTCGTCAACATGTCAGTTGTTGAACATGTTGTTTTATACAGCATTAATAATTTGGCTTCATGGTAGGCTCTGATTGTCTTTGCAACATTATTACTTTTAAAGTAGAGACGTCTTCGTGTGATCGCTTAGAATCACCGAGTGAACAATGTCTGAGGTTAACTATAGAATGCTATCTAAAGTGTGTAAATCGATCGATGAAATGGTGATCCTTCATCAACTGAGTTGATTAGAATATTTTATCAGAATCTACCCAATTAATTCTTAAATATTATTATCTGACACATGATTGGTCATTTAATAAGCCAATCAGAACTCAAAACATTGTAAATAATTGTTTACCATTCCTATACATTAAATAGAATATTTGAACAGTATTGTTTGTTGTCCATTCACGTGAAACATGTCAAGTACTTTCTTTTGTTTCATTTCATTGAAATAATTCTATCTCTAACATCATTTATCTTGAAATCCCAAAAGAAACAAACATATAGACAACTATTTTATTATTTTTTTTTATATGTTAGATTTAAAGGATTTCGTTTAGTTCACAAAGCTATACAATCGGAATATTGTCTACCTCGTGTACATATTAGTAGTTATAATAATAACAATAGTATTCCATTTCAATTGAATGATATTATTGTCAGTGTGAATAATCATAAATTATCGACAATGTCCGAAGCAGAGTAAGTTAATATGTTTTTTTTGTTTGTTTATGTCTTGGAATAGATACTCATTTATCATGCTAAACATTTTGTGTATATTAATTATTATGTGAGACTATAATTTATGAACGAACTAATCAGATTTAGGATAACAGGTCTTGGATCTCGGTGTGAGATCCATTCATCTATTTGGCTAAATAGTGCTTTGGTATTTTTAGCTGATAATCAGTTCGTGATAAAAACCTTAAATGTAATTCCTTATCCTAACCGTCAACTGTAAATCACAATTCTAATTACTCACATTGGTTTGTAACCCTCATATAGCCCTAATAAGTAGGTGGAGATTCTGAAGTCCTATTTAACACTCGTCAGTTGAATAAAGAGTTGGCGTTTGTAGCGAACGCTACTGGGTTCGTGTCCTGGGGTGAACATCAACTCTGGGATGCAGGTACATCCAACCAACGAGTTCAAAATAAGATGGAACACGCGTCCTGGATTCCACTGATAGCCGTCATCTATCTTTGCTTATTATGCTTGTTATTTATGGCAGTCCGTACAGGATACACATATGCCAATAAGAGACTGATCAATTGTAATCCTAAACATTAGTGGGAAAATTGACACAACCAATACAAATTGAATTATATTAGTAGGTTATAAACTTTGTTTCTCTTCTTCGATCCGATTACATAACTTGCACTTCATGTACAAAATTTTACAAGTTTATGAAAACAGTCAGCACATGAGATTCAGCTTAGAAAATTGTAATTAACGGATTAATAGTCGTGTATAGTCAACTTAATGTCACCAATAAAGTGTTTTGGTCAGGAGTATTCAAGTTTTAATCCAAGTAGTATGAAAATATACACATATACACATTGATCTTAATCTTGGATTAGTGTGTAAAGTACTAAGTGCTATTTTAAACAAACTGAAGCAAAATTATTATTATTATTATTATTATTATTATTATTATTATTATTATTATTATGACTAATATTATTCTATCATCTATTTACTTACGATTAAAATTGCTAACTTCGGACTAAGTTACTGACAGGAATTTAAAAGTTCATGTTTTTTTTACCTTAATTTATACACTTTCTGTCTGATATTGCTAACCGCCTTATTTAAACCGAAACAGTTTATTCATTGAGTTGTAACCAATGTTTTATTTGACTGTAATGAAATGTCTTATATTAGTGTAAATGAATAAATTTCATGATGTTTTACAGTATGTTTGATTTCCAATAATTGACATTCCTCAACAAGATGTCTCTGAAATCTTGGACGAACACTTAATGTACTATTGAAACTTTACATAACTGAATGTTACAATTATCAATAGGGCTATTTCTTGACATAAATAACTTGAAGAATAGTGTTCTAAATATGTATATATTTTATGAATAATATTCAGTTTAGCATTGTAATTTAATTTCTCAATATGAATCAATTCCAACAGCTGATGTAAATCTTGTAATTAGTTTCTATTTAATTAACTAGTCATTAATTATTTCTTCATTTTATTATTTTCTAGAGCATTACAATATGTATATAATGCATTTAAAGATGCACAACATTATACCATTGATGTAGACATTCTAAGATCATCTTTATCATCAAGAAAATCTTTTAATAATGAATCATCTTCTACATTACTCAAACAATCATTGATAACTCGTCAAAAATCCGACTCTGGTTATTCAAATTCTATTGAAGTGAATATTGCCTCGAATCCACATCGACCAAGAAGACGACGAGAAGGTGAATGTAAAAATTATTCATCTTGTGAAATCACTCCAGAACGTTCACCTTACAAAAACAACAATAAAGGTATTTCACTGTTGTTTTTTTTAAGAAAGAAAGTAGTATTTACTGTCTTATTTTCCTGAAGTTAAATGCGCTGTCCAAAATGAAAACAGTTTACTGTAAAATGAATTATTACTATGAACTCGAACATTTACGTTGCATACTACATATGCTTTTTGATAGTTAATTACTCTCAAAGAACCAGTGTTAATCAAACAGACGAACTGAGCACAGAATAATCGATTTTCACTGTCTTTGATATGCTTGAAAAGAAGGTTTTATCCAATTAATAATTTGAGTCATTTATTGAGCCCAAACTTATGTACACCCAGCTTTCATTCACGCTATAGATGTATGTGTATAAGAGCTAGCGATATTGTCCCGGGAGGATAAACTGAAGCTGGTAAGGTGACATTCGAGATTAAAACTTGTTGGTTTAATTTCAAGTGATCTGATCATTGGGCATCACTTCAAGATTTCATATAACAAAGATATTTGCATTTATTTCCGCTTTCTCTAATTTGCAAAAGGTTTAATTTTTACATTTGACAATTCCCTGATCATTTTTTATTGTTCTATAATCAAGATTGATCATATTGTTTGTACTCTACTATGCGGTAATACTTGTATTAAAAACAAATGAAAAATATTAAACTAATATCAGGACAATAAAAGAAGATGACGCAACTAAATATGACAAGTTAGTAGTGAGATGACAAACGTGCTGGTTGTAATGAGAATAATAATAACCTGGATAAATTATGTTTAAACTTGAGTTGTAGGTCAAAACTTAGGAAAATAAACAAGGTTTTCAGTGGTGGCCTAGCATAGAACAAGTTATGAATTCAACTATGAAAATACTACAATCTATACAAATTCCCATACTGATAATTAGAATAAAATACTATTCAGATTACGTAACATCTATCTGTACTGATCATTTTCACATTGTTTATTTCGTAATTACAGTAATTTTTAATGATTTTAATATGACTTATTTCTTATGTTGTTAAACACTTATTGAGGTTGTTATTATTCCTATCATAACTAATACGCTTGTCATCATGGTTTACAGTTTCCACTAGCTGCATAATCCTCCTTCATGCATATCTGCACATAAATATTACTGCATATTAGAGTATAAAGCCTGATGAAGATGTGTTTGAGAAGAATATTTGTCCAGTGCTTTTATGTTTTCAACAGTTGACTCACTTAGATCAGTTCATGATTTCCATGAAATAAAAACATTTATATTTACATTCAATTTCAATTCTAAATCCTATGTAATGTAACTACCTGTGTTAGTTAACTGATTGTGGAATAAAATTAACAAGGTCAATATCAGAATAGTGATAGTGAAAAGAAATGGGTGTAGGAAATATGATTTGAGATAGAAATTTGCTTTCGTGCAATAAAAGATGTAAAAAAAGAGTGAATACACTTGCACTACGGTGACTGATTTTGAGTCATTTCACTTGGGGTCACTAGTCATGATGACCGCCTAACCTAAATAATGTTCATCTATCAAAATGGCCCATTAACTTTTTGGATTGATACTACATCTTGATTTGGGGGCTCCTAGTTTTTTTTCAGACCTACTCTTACACCAGTCGACATCCCCCACCCATCAAGCTGGGTACACACAATATATGTTCGATAAAATTGTATTAAATTCCAATATTTATTAGATAATACATTTACTACACTGCAGCTAATTAGAAACTACGTTAAGTATAATCTTCAGTCATGATCACCTCGAAAACCCTAACCAAATAGTTTACATCTTCCTAGACAAATCAGGTTAGTTATTAACGGTTCTATCCTTAATAGTAACTTTTTTCCCAATATATTTTAACCGCTACAAAATATTTGGTATAGGCGATTGTTGTCCTTATGTAACTCATATTCCAACCATTTTTTATTAATAAGAATTTGTAGTCTAATCAATCGATTTACAAACCTTATACTAGCAAATTTTATAGGCGATTAGTTTATTCAATTATTTTAATTTTCTTACGATTCATGGCTTTATATATCATATTGAAAGGATAGTTATATTTTTGTGAGCAATGATGGATAGTGGCTAGCAGTGGAATCCAGGACGTGCGTTTCGTCCTGGATTCCACTGCTAGCCACTATCCATCATTGCTTAAAAAAAGCTTATGAATTAAGGTAATATCGAGGCATACTCACAGTATGCACATATACCAATAGCAGACTGATCAATTGCAGGCTTAAGCTTCAATGGGAAGATACAAGCCAAACAATACCAAGTGAATAGTTAGATAGACTTTATTAATTGTTTAACTAAGTGTTCATGAATTTCTTTGTTAAATCTAAACTCGTTCCCCTATGTTTCTTTCCCCCACCCACCTCTCTCTCTCTCTCCTTGTGTGTGTATGTGTCAGTATTTGCGTGCATTTCTTAAATCTATAAATGCAAAACTTCAATACTAATGTTCTCTTAAGAAAATTATTATTAATGTCTCCTTTATGTAATTTGATGCAAATTTGAATTTAATTCATATATTACTAAATTATCTCCCTCTCCCTCTTTCCCTCTCTCTCTCTCTCTCTCTCGCTTGACTGACAGCTACAATTGTATTACATTTCTATTTGTCTCTTTACGAAGTATGAAACCCTATTCATCAAAAAATAATAAAAAAAAACAAATTAATTCATTTCAATCGACAGAATATTGATGTTAGATATGTCACTATGTTAGTTGGTTGGTTGGTTGAATGGTACGTTCATGTGTGAATGTGTGTGTGTGTGTGTTTGTGTCCCTATCTGATCGCTCATTTATGTGATACATGGATCATCATCAACACAGCTGTTGGGTTGGTTTTTTGTTTTTGAAGAAAAAAAATATATCAATCATTGTTCTCATCACCATTGATATTCCTGATTTATTAAAACAAGTCATTTCACTGTATGATTGATGATTTACACTTAGTTGAATATGTTGTCTATGTTGTATGCTTGTGTTATTGATGAGACACAGTGTTTATCTAGCAATGGATAAAGACAATTTGTCCCCTTTAAAAAAAGACATTTTAAACTTGCTACTTTAATGATTAGTTTAGGTTAGTTGTGTTTAAAATGTTCATTTCGGGGTTGAAGTTAGATGTAGTTAAAAAAAAGATTTTAGTCTATTCATGATTCATGTAAGTTTTCCTGTTTGTTTTTTAAAAATATTCTTCGTCTAACCATCATCATGGAGTTTTAACGAGATGACCAATATCATAAATTTATTTTAACACACATTAGTACAAGGAGGCACCAAATATATATGCACCACACAAATCATTCGAATACTGCCCGGACACCCAAACCGAAGCAGGTGGTTTACTTAGAGGATCACACCCCGAACCATTGACCTATAGGTCTAATTCACAAGGCAGTGGAACAACATTAGAGAATTCAGTTCCATGGTAGCCGATGACCAACAGTAGGTTGGTACGTCTTTTGTTCCTTTAGGATCGTTCAGCTCATGTGCTGTACTGGCTTGGAGTTTTCCAACTACTCTAGGTGGATGCTCCGTACCTATCGACCCGATTTAAACACCGAGCATTCGTTTTTCGTCCTCTCAATGTGGTAAACAACACCTTCGTGATGAGAAAGGCAGTGAGTAGGACTTCTCTGACTCTAGCTGTATACGCGTAGCCATGTGAGAGTATTTCGAGAGGGTGACCAGATTTTCTCCACTCTAGACCGTACCAGGGAATTTGTCTAATTTGTAGAACTGTTGCAATGACATTCATTTAAAAATTTTAATTTGTGAGCATATATCATGAACTTACTTTAGTTAATAGACCAATAAAAACCAATAACCACCGGGCAGATGTTCTATCGTGGTATTGGACTCCTCGGCATTCACTGTGTAGCTGCAACCTAGTTAGAGATCGGGACAGGGACATTAAGGTCTCATGGCGAACGCTTTACTTTTGAACTGACGAGTTATGACCTAATAGCGTGTATTACTCTTACTTCAGACAAATCACGATGCCAAGTATCGTTTTATTTGGGCACTCGCATACCACGAAAAAACAGATGTCTTGTATTCTAAGTCTTTGGTGGTTGTCTAATTAGGGTTATCTCGTGATGTGAGCCCTAAAATTCAACTATCTCCACTGACCTCTTTGCACCATTGATTTAACTTAGTTCTATAGATTTCGAACTGTATAATATTGCTTGCATTTACAAGTATACACTTACTTTCATGTTGATTCGTTACTTATTTTTTCTTCTTTCTTCTTTCTGTAGAACAAAAAGATCGTACTCTATTGATCCGTAATACCAATAGAACCAATTTAAGTCGTTTAAGCCTTATGGATTATCCGGATTCGCCTAATATATGCCTTAAATCACGTCAAATGTCGGCTGTTGACAGTGTGTCCCGTAATTCCAGTGACAACAATCATGGTGTCGTTGACTATGATGATAGAATTAATACATCAACATTTGCCTCATCATTGTGCAGTAGTAATCTAGCAGACAGTGGATTTGTGACAATACGTCGACCAAAACAACCTCCACGTTTAACAATAATCAATAGTGATAGTGGTGATGTTGCAAACAATCGATTTTCTTTAACTGGTGCTGGGCTTCTCTCTTCTCTTGATAACAGTAATAATAAAGCAAGAAATTCACCGAAACAAGTATCACCAAAGTCGACACCATTGATAATCGACATCTTGATAATAATCGTTCAAATTCTCACACACTTACACCTCACACCACAGAAGTTACATCACCATTTATTCCAAGGAGATCGTTAAATATGGTAGGTTGCTTTTTATTGATGTCATTTGTTTTTGTTATTGGTTATGTATCAATTTATTAAAATTCCTGTGTTTGTGTAAAGTACTCGGAGTTTTAAAAACTCACTTATGTAGTATATTCGTTTATCCAACCTGGAACCACAAAACATAGTGACTATTAGTAGTAGTAGTAGTATGATGTATGCTACCTATGGTTTCAGATATAAGTAGTAACATCAGTCGGAGGTGAAATGTCTGCAAGCAGAAGGTTGGTAAGATTGAAATGAAGAGAAGAGAGAAGGGGAATGAAAACAATCGAGGTAACAACAGGACTAAAGAAACAATAAAGCTTGTAAGGAATAATTCAAAGATGTGCGAATGATGAGTTTGATGTGTGATTTTCACATTTTACTAAACTACTACGTGATTGTACACCAAATAATAAATTGGTCTTCCCCAGCTAACTGCTCGTTCGCTACAGTGGTAGCACTACTAACCGTTTTCTCAAACCTATGTCAGTAGAGTAGATTTATAGCCTGAAACTTATTGGTTGATAGTCGAATGGATTAACCATACGTTTACATTATATGCGTACATATAAACTGCTGATAAACGAACCGAAAGTTTTCGACAGCATACATGATATTGATGTTTCAATACCCGTATTTTACCTTAATCGTTGTTGTTATCTAACTCAAACTTATAAACGGGAAAAATTGTTTCTAAAATTAAATTGATTGTTAAAATATTTTTTCTGAAGAAACTTTGATTTTTATGAGTGGAATCATAGATTTATTTTTATTTCAGAATAACATGTTTCATAATTGACAAGTAAATACACAATTATAGGTGTCTTAGAAGTATTGCCAATATCTGCTTGGATTACCGGGTAAGTAAAAGTTAGGTCAGATGCAGGGTATTAGGGAATGATGGTAAATCAGTTGATGAAGTTGTAAATCTTCATCGACTGAGATGGTTGGGCCACGTGTTACGTATGCCTGAACACTGATTACCACGACGTGCAATGCCGACTAGTGTTGGAGAGGTGGTTAGAAGAAAGTTAGGGTCGGCCAAACCAAAAACGTGGTTTCAGTCCTTGAATTCACTAACTTGTGGTCTGAGCCATGTTGTTAGATGCAGACTACTTGATCGGGATCCGTGTGACTATCGTAGTCAATGGTTGGAGACTCTTGGTGACATGGCTCAAAATCGACCACAATGTCGTAGGTGTATACACTCGTTGTCTTCCTTTAAACGTGAGATTAAAATTACATTGTAGGTTTCTTTCTACGAATTAATTCTTACTTCCTGTATTATATGCTTATGTGCAATCTGACTGACTACATATATATACGTATATGTAATCTCTATGTGTGTGACATTATGTGCATATTCTTACTTACAGAATTAATGCACAGCAACTTTGCATTTAATTTTTACATGAGTAAATGCACACCCGCATTGTATCTTTCAAATAATCACCTTACTCATTATCAAAATCATGATGATATAAAGATATTGTACATGTATTTACATAATGTTCATGTGTATTTGAGTAGGAGGAGTTTACATCAGTTTCAAATTAATTGTACACTTGGTTTGTCTTTGAATACATCAACTATAGTTGATTCTTTATTTAAATTAATACTTAATTTTGGAATGAGCTGTTATAGTTCAGTTCAACTGAATTCTTGTAAAGCACATGATTCGGTCTATTTGTATGTAATGATAGATAATTCATTCAATTCAATTAGATAATTACAGATTTCTGTAAACAGTAGATTGGTGTGATTTCTTAGCCTTTTGTCTGATTGTTTGAAGTGAATGATACAGAATTGATTTTTATATGTAATATGACTGATTGATTAACAGTTAGTTCTTGAAGCATAACATCTGGTGGTGATGATAGATTCAAGTTTAGCTCGATCTGCTTCCCCATCTGAATCACATGTACACATATACACATTTATGCATACAAAAGTGTAATAGATAGAATCTTAAATTAATATTGTAGAGATAGCTAATTGAATAGTACCTCAATATGAACTACTGATAGCAGTCAGTAGCATGTATAATTTTGAAATTCATTGTCATAACTAACTGAAGTGTTAGACTAACTAGAGTTACGTTATTGTTATCACTACCTAACTATTCCTCATGACAATAAACATTCTTTACTTACAATAGATCAAGATATAATGTTGTAACATTTGTAACTCACATACCCTCAATTTGTACAACATGTCATTTGTTCATGGTTTACGTGAAACACAAAGCTGATTATTCAGCTTTAATTATATCCTGACCACCTTTCCAACTTGTCACTTCACTTTCTCAAGATGGTGGAGGGAATTTGTAGTTCAGTTGAATGATTTTGGTGGAGTTTTGTTCTTTCAGCTGGATTCAATCTATCAACTAATTAGAAAAATCTTAGACAAATATAGGACCATGAATCAAATCAATGGAAATAAAGAAGTAAACAATGATAAGTTAAAAGTCAACCAATCAAGATCGAGGTCTAAAAGACAAGCTGTGAGTTATATGTGAAGAAATTCGAACACTTCACTTTTATTTGAAGTTTGTGCTAATGATGTCGTTTGAGAAACGATGAAAGTTCTAGGACTATTCTATTTTAGCACAAAGAACAAAACTCCACCAAAACTTCACTTTCTCATCTACATCTAAGTTTATTATTTCTTTTATTATTAATCATAAATTGATTGACAATGCTGTAAATCGTGTTGATGAATCTGTTTAGACCAAGTTCACTATGTTGATTGATTGATATTTGATTATTGGGTATTTATAGACATAATAATTAGATATTTAGGTTGAATTTAATGTGAAAATGTGTTTTTCGTTTTGTTTACTGGGTCAATTGAATAGTTAATTTTGTTAGCAATTATACTCCATATATTTAATAATAGTTATTTATAACTATTTGTTGAATGGTACGCTGGTTAGTTTGACACTGAGAATTGTAATTACACGATTATGTTTTCAATATAGACGTTAACATCGTTACATTTTGTCTGTATCTGGATAGTTGGAGATATTCACCCCTCATTTCACTCACTCACTCACTCACTCACTCACTCACTCACTCACTCACTCACTCACTCACTCACTCACTCACTCACTCACTCACTCACTCACTCACTCACTCACTCACTCACTCACTCACTCACTCAACCTATGATTAATAAATGTTATCTTAATAGAAGTCGTTAATACTTCCTACTATATTCACTAATACATTGAATCTTTGTTGTTTTTCAATGTAATCATAAACACCATTCACTCCCTCATTCCATTAAATATAAATCTAACCTTTATACAAAGTGATCAAAATATATATTTGAGATAAAAAAATACACATTTTATTTCTTACTCTCTACTATAATTTTAAACAGCAATTACTTCTTATCTTTTCATAAATAAATTTAATTATAGATATGTATTGTGTTTAGTAGTTTGAATTAACCCTCTCCTTGATATTCAAGACTAAATTTTGAATAGTCTCTATGACTCCCAGTCTGAACTACTATTTATCTATTTTAAAGTGTTATCGTTTCTTGTTTGAATCTGTTCTATGATTGATTGATGAAGTTCTAAAGTTTATTTAACTAATTGTCGATAGTAATCTGTTTATTAATCTCTGTTCGTTTAATTATGATGACAACTTGAGATCACTTTACAACATATCAATACCTAAGCATATTTTATGAGAAGTTTCTGTTTGTGAAGATACAAGCCATGATTTGAAATCAGTTCCTGAAGTCATTGACTGTGTCGACTGAGCCGTGTTTGTTGGATGAAAGTTGGGATCTACGCGATTATCCTGACTAAGGTTCGAAAATGTCGATCCCTATGCTGCTGATATATTCATCCTTTCTCCTTCTTTAAGTCTCAAGTTTTAAGTTTATCCTATACCATTTGTAACGCGAACTGATTATTTCTTCTCGAATAATATTGTCTATACTTAATGTTTTTTACTACCACTGATACTATTACCAGTGGTCGTATTATCAGTAGTATCCACATTTTAAGGACAAACAATCAAAATAAGGATGATTTTGGAAGTCACTTTTCATTCAGGGGACAGAGAGTGTCTCCATAAATGAAAAGCATTCCGCAATAATAATAATAATAATAATAATAATAATAATAATAATAATAATAATAATAATAAAGCTTATTACAACTCAGTGATTGTAGAATGTTTATTGAATTTTCAATACCTAACGTCTTTTTTTCACTCTTAATTTTTTAAAAATATCACTACGTAATCTCACATATCTGAGTGTAAATATATACACTCTCAAGATTTCCCTGGTACGGTCGAGAGTGAGAAAGAGTCCACTCGTGTTATCTCTTGATATACCTTCACGTGGTCTCGCATATACAGCTACTGTCAGGGAAGTCTTACTCACTACCTTCTCGACGCAGGGGTGTTATTTACGAAATTGAGAGGACGAAAAGCGAATGTCCGACTCTTTAACCTCGGGTTGATGTGTACAAAGGACCATCTAGAGGAGTTGGAAAACCGTGATGCACATGTGCTTCAAGATCCTGAAGGAACAATGGAGTATGAACCTATTGTTGGTCACTGGCTACCATGGAACTGCATCTCACGTTGGTCTACTGCTTTTATATTAAAGGCTGAGGGAGTGACCTAAGAAAACCACCTATTGGGTTCGGCCACTTGATCTGTATACCAGTCCCTACGCAAATCGAATGACGAAGTGTAGCGCATTTATATTCGCCGCCTCATTGTATCAATGTTTATGTGTTGAAATAAATAAATAAAATAACAAATAGTTTAGTGAAAAATTCATTATTGACTATAAAATCTTCATTCATAAAATTTCTGAAGAATTAACGAGATAGAGCTATAAGACAATGATATGGGAAATTCATACTTGGAAATGTTTATCTATTTTATTATTCTTATCTTAATGGCTCATTTATTATTTATTAAAAGGGCTTCATTAAAGCAATTTCATTTAGAGTTAAATGTAAA